GAGACGTTAGCGAGTCGGTGGGTGTGTCCACGTTGCACTCGGCATTATTTGTGTCGGGAGGTTCTTCGACCGTGGCGGTCCGTGCTCCTCCTCCCTCGCCGGCATGTGGTCTCTTGGGACAGGTCCCTATGTGGGGCCGCAGCTCGTCTGTAGGTTGTGACTGCTCTGTAGTTTTGCAACGCCAGCACATGTCGTTGCAACGGGCGGGTGAACGCTTGCGCTGACGACGTCTGGGTGCTGATGAAGTGCACAGTCTTGGTGGTGGTATCATCGCTAAGTCGTCGAGTCGTAATTCTGGAACTCTGTTGTTGACTGGAATATTATACCATTGACCCCCGGGTCCTGAAGCAAGTAGCCCAGCTCTGGATCCCAAAGCTGCCGAAAGCCACCAACTTCAATCAATTGTCCAACTGATAGTAATGATGGGCAACCTGGCAAGGCGAGGGCTGAACTCTGCAAGCCAACCTCGGGTAGCCGTATGTCGTAGCGCTCGTTGACAGTACGATCGCCGTTGGCAGTTTCCAGTATATGCTCCTCACGAATAGATATGCGATCCGATTCGGTCTGCGTTAGCTCGCTTACCCTAAATATGATGCGCAGATCCACTGTCGAGAACCCAGGAGCGTGTCAACGCAGCGGTCGAGCGTGGAGGGTCGACTTGCGAAGTCATCGTCTTCGTCTGGTGTGTCTCGGATGACTGGATGGTAGAGTCATCAGAATCTGGAATCGCAGCTGGTGTGACCACCGACCCCTTGTTGTGTCGGTAGTCATGTAAATCTTTGTGCCATAACTGCGCCTCCCGTTGACAACGTTGTAGGGCGTCTGCACTCTGTTTCCACCACCATTGTGGTAGCGGGTCTGGTACTTCGACAATGCCGCCCTCATTCGGCATCTCCTTCCACTTATCCAGTCTGGCCTTGCCGGAGACGATGTGCGGGTAGTATTCCACATTATGTGTGTCAAAACGTATCCGACGCCGTGGTTTGGTAGATGTTGTAGTGGCCTTGGTGGTGGCCATGAGGGTCTTGTCACGTATGACGTAACTGCGGTCGGAGCGGCGAGAACGTCGGCAGTTGGCAGGAGAGCGCGCTCTGAAGTGGGGAGAGCCGCGGGACGAACCGCGGCTCGTGGAACGTCGGCCACGTCCTCTGTCACTACCGTATGATCTATCGCGGCCACGTGAGCTGCCGCGCCCTCCGCCACGGCTGCCTCATCCAGGGAGGAAGATCGCGAAAATCTGTCGCGACAACTTCTCGACTGGCTGCGGGAGTCTGGAGACCTCCTGGAGGATGATCGAGATCGGTCGCATTGGCGTCGGTTGTCACGTCTATCGTGCGAGTCTTCTGCGCAGCGGAACCCCCCGCGTTGTGGAAAGCGTTGACTCCCTGATCCGCGGGGCGGCGGTCGGCCACGACTGTCCTGACTGGAGGTCCGTGGGCGACTCGGGCTTCGCTCGGGTGTCTTCGCACCAGGCGCCAGGTGAGCGCATCTGCATTCGTCGCCCTTGGTGCACTTGCTCTGTGCGAAGTCTCTGCACTGCGCCATGCGTGGGAAGTCGCACTTGTCGCCTCTGGTGCATGCGTTGCGCTTGGCGAACTCGAAGCAAAATGGCTTCGACGCGGGCCTCTCGGGATTCGCAGGGGCTGAAACGCCGCGGCGGGAGTTGCCACCAGCGGTCGATGATCTGGAAGATCTGGTGCTCTTCCAATCCCTGGAAAAGGCATGCAAAGCCTTGCATCGCTCTCCATTGCGACAGCTGCCTTTCTTCCAGGCGGCGCATACATGTACTTGAGAACAAGTCTCGCGTTCGTACCGTAACTTATTTTGATTCTTCTCCAGTTGTTTAAGCTCCAGTACGTCCAGGACGCGCTGTCGGAGCCAATCATAGGTACGATTCGGGTCGCTGATCTTCATGCGCTGGTATTCGTACATATCTTGTTTCATCCAGGCATGTCTGCGAATCTGCGTGCGAAACAGAGACTCAAAGATCTTTGGACCGGGTGCCTCTCGGCACTCCAATAGTAAAGCGTCCCAGTCAGTAATGAAACGCTGCAAATCGTCATCTCTCATCCTCAGTTCTTTGAGGCGCTCGAAGTCGTGCAGGTCGTCATCAACCTCTGTCACTTTGTGGGACTGTCGAATGTGCCAGTAGATCTGGCGCCCTTTGAGCATGCGTCCTGCTTTGTGCTTTCTGGTTTCGATGAGCCTGATTTGATAGCGCAAGTCTGAGGATAAGATGTCGCTGAGAGCAGTAGCGAGTTTGCAATCGATGCTCTCGCAGTCGCCACTGTCTTGTAAGTCCACGAAGGTACACTCTGGCCGTTCAGCCACGCATAGGAAGGCATATGCTTTGGAAGGTCGCCCTCAGGCGGCTCCAAAGTTCTTCCGTACCTTTTGCTGCCACTCAAGCAGCTGCGTGATCTTAGGCAAGACAGGGGCTCGGACGGTGTGTGACTCCTTGATAGGAGTAGTAGTATTGATCGAAACCGCAGACAATGGTTGTGAGGGCATCGGTACACCGTCGGTAGTTGGTTCTGTGCGCACAGGAGACACGCGGCGTGTCTGTGCTGAAGCTGCCGCGGAGGCTGCTCCTGATGACATACGTCGTTGTTGTCCTGCTGAAGCGCGCGGTGCTTCGGCGGACGCTGCCGTCGGCCTGTGCAGGTCGGTTGCAGGTTGAAGGTGAAGTGTGGTGTCGTTGGTGTGGTCAATCAGCTGATTCGTCCAGTTCGTCATGTCTTCGTGTATCTGGGCCACCTTTTGGCGCGTGTACTCATCAGTATCCCGAGAGCGTTGTGAACACCGATCGAGTCGTTGCTCGTAGGCTCGGAGACGGGCGCCGTGCGCCTCCAACTCACTTCCCAGACGTGCGAGGTGCCCCTCAACACGTACCTTCTCAGTATCTCTCTCACGAATAACCTGGGAGAGCTCTAACTGCGCGTGGTCCGCCACCGTCTCAACCTCCTGCAACCTGTCAGCGAGGCGGGCGAAATCGTAAACCGTGGGAGGAGAATCCAGCTGTACAGTCTCGGCTCGTCCGACACGCAACTCTGCCAGGGCGCCCTGTACACCAGGAAAGCGCCGCTCGAGGTCAGAGATCCGGTTAGCGAGTGGCTGCGCGACAGCGTTGGTCGCATCAAGCCTTTGAGTGATAACTCTCTCAGTATGTTGCAACATGTCCATCAGGTTCGACGAGTTGGTGTGTGCTTCGGTGCGATGCGTCGCCGTAGTGTGGTCCATGTGGGAGCGAAGATCGTTGATCTGATATTGAACGTCGCCAAGGTCGGTGGCCTCGGCTGGTGGTTGTCGGTTGCGGAGCTGGTCATGGATCTCGTCGTGGAGGATCCTGACTGCTGAAAAGCCTGTGTCGCGTACGATCACAAGCTGTTGCTCCATCTGCGCGAAGTAGTTGCGCAGGTTCTCGACCGTCGCCGATCGTTCACCTGAGTGTGACATCTCACGGTCAACCTGGTGCTGCAGCTCACCTAAGATGCGGCGATCTTCGGCGATCCTGGAATCAATGATCCCTAAGGCGCCGTCAAGACCTTGGCGTGGAGCAGCAGCGTTGGCAGCGTTCGTCTGAACGCTCTGCAGTAGTCCAGAGTACTGCCTGGACACGAAGGTTTCAACCTGGTCTCTAAGCTCAGCTATCTCGCCTGCAGCGGACGTTACCGCCGGCAGGTCGTCTGAGATGGAGAGGTGGGAAGCGTGGGCTTCCCTCTGCACCCTCTCGCGAGGAGCGCATGGCCTCTGCGAGGCAGCACGCGGGCTCGACCTCCTTTCGTCGCATGGGCCTGTGGCCCCACGACGGTTGCGCAAGGACGAGCTGCGGCTAGGACCGTGTGTGTGTGTGGTGTCCCATGAGATGATACATTGGGGTACTGCGTCTGCGGCTGTGCCGCCACTGGTCTACTGAGTTCCTTGCAGGTGGCAACGTGCTCCGCTACAGGAACGGTCGCAAGGCTGGGCGTGCCAGCACCTGAAGCCCATCGGCGGTTAGCGCGAAAGCGCCCTGGAGTATCAGGACCAGCGGGGCTTTCGCCCGACGCAGTTGGGATTGCTCCCGACGGAGGAGGAGATGGAGGATCGAAGGTAGGCGTGTGAAACTCCCTACTGCCAGCTCCTACTCCTTCTCCTGTCCCCCCGCGGGCGGCGTGGCGGTGAAGTTCAGCAGCTAGCCGCGCCTCGGGTCCGTCGGAGCTGGGGGGGGTTACCTGGGACACCTACACAGTCCACACTAAGGCTCTCCAACTCGTCACCGAGCCGTCGCGCCGTCGGAGAGCTCGGACGCGAGGCCCCGATTGACCCCTTACGGCGCATGCGCCGCTGGGGTTCCATCGAGGCCGCGTGCGAGATCGCGACGCGGGGTTCGATGAACTGTGAGCTTGAAAGGGCTGATAACCTGTGTATGGGGTTGGAGTACAAAGGTACAGAACCCCTGATCCGTTGGTAGAGGAAAGGAGGGAAAGACGGATATCTTTTCCTCCTGCACGATCAAAGGTCTGATCGATCTAATCCAATACTTGAGCCCAAACGGCCAGGCGCAGGAGAGGTGAGGATAAGAGTACATATGAGGGTATTACACGGGTTCTATTCACAGGCCCTGAACCGTACCGACCCTGCCCTGAGACTTGCAGTGGCGAAAAAAGGCAAGACCACCGAAAAAGGTCACGACCGGAGCCCTGGACCCCACCTTGCTGCGCCATTTTCGAGGCGGACCGATCTGGTGAGGGCCCCCGGGGTCTGAGACTGGGCGCAGACGCCCGGTGTCAGAAACCTGCAATGCCCAGATCTGAACTGGCCATCGCTCGGACGTCCATTCCCTGTGTTTTTTGTTCGGTTTCGTACGTGGCTTCTTCCCCAAATGATCAAGGGTGCTCCTCGACGGTCCTCGCCGAAGGAAAAATGCACACGTCCGAGCGATGCCAAGTGAAGGGATGCACAGGTCCTGGGCCCGGGATCGGCCCGGCCAGGGTCGGCGTAGGTGTTATTGAGGGTGCCCTCCCGTTCCTGCAGGATGCACTCCGTCACGTGGCTGCTCCAGGCGTCGTGCTCCGCGACGGTCTCGGCAGCCCGCTGCTCCAGGGCCATGACGTGCCTGTCCATCGCCTCCTTGGGGGGTGGCCAGGCCTGACAAAGGGGGCCGTGACCAGGCCTGAGCGCGGAGGGGTTTCTGCGCTTCCGAGGGGGGGAGAGGAGACGCGGCATCCCCGCAACACAGTGAGGCCAGCGCGAGGGTATGACACTGCCTCTGATTGCGCGCACAACATGCGTGAAACAAGGGGCGGAACTGCGGGCGGGTATAACGTACACAAACGAAACAACCAGACAGACACCGGGAGATGCGTGCAATGCTAATGGGATGCGTAGATCCCACGACGTATGGACAGCCACGGTGGCAATCTGAACGGACGCCAGAGCGCATTAAGCCAAAGCGGCCAGTGACTGAGCGCAGAAACTTCGCTGTCGATCTTGGTCACCGTCCACCTTGGTCAGCGCCAATTCGTGGACCGTCATCGCGAACCGGCGGCGGCCGTCACGGACCATAGCTAAGATCAGCGTCGACAAGATGCAGCGACATCTTGAGAGGAGCAACGCAAGATATAAGCATGAACTTTTGGAGGTCCACGCGGATCTCTTGGGACGGCGCTGGATCCCCCTCCCTGGGCGCACCAGGGGGCCGCGCCCGAGGCGCCGCCGGGGGGGCAACAGCCGCTGGCCCAGGAGATCCACGCATGCCTCCGAAAGTTTAGGCTCATGTCTACTTCCGTGTTTCCCGGCTCTTGACTTTGGACGCCCAGAATGGGTACGCAAAAAAATTGCACAATGTCCAACGACAAATGTTGTCCCAAACCAACAGCGGCCGCTGTTGGGCAGGCAGCCTTCTGTCTCAAATGTACACAGGCCTCGGCGACACCGACAGCGAGGCCTGTTCAAAATGAACAAGAACCGCTATTGGGCATTGTACCCATTCTTTCCGTACCCATTTTGTTCGTGCCGATTGACAGCGGCCCGTGCGGCTGGCAAGATCTGTACCCATTGCAAATGCATCTTGGAGTTTCCAAGACGCAGCGGGTATGAGTCTAAATCTGATCCCTGGAGGCCAAATGATGACCGATCGATATCCACTGCGCATCGGCATTTGGCGCCCCTGCCAAGAGAAGTGTTCTGGCGCGGGCGACAGAACAACCCAGTCTCATGTGCAATGCCGGCTTAGCGTGCATACTACAAGGTATGAGCTGACAGAAATTAACAACTGATACTTGCTGAAAAGACACGAGGCAGCCAGCCAAGGAGGAAGGGATGTGGATACACATCTGGGATATGGGTACAAATATTGGAGACAAATCTGGGGCCAAGAGACTCCCAGACGCTGTGGGCATGGATGCAGATCTTGCCCGCAGGTGTGTGGCTCTTGCCCCGCTCCTTGTAGGCGAACCCCTGCTTGAGCTGCGTGGTCGAGCCCGCGCCGAGCTGGGGGGCGCTGGCGCTCGATGCCAGGCGCGCCGGAGCCTCCTGCTCCTCCGCCGGCGGCTCAGCGAGGGGGTCCGCTGAGGGCTGGGGGCCCGAAGGGCGAAGCACGAGCGGCGAAGGCATCCCCGGGCGAGCTCGCGCCGCGAAGAAGCAGGGCGGGCAGTTTTTCGACGTGCTCGGCCGGCGGGGGGCCTCGCTGGCCACCAGGACCGCCAGGAAAGCGGCTCGGGACGAGAGCCCGGCCCCCGGGGAAATGGGTCGGGGCTTCCAAGGACCCCGCTCGGAAAAAGCTCGAGACATCGGATCTCTGGGCATCCGTGTCCGCGCCCTCGCGGTCTGGATTCCGGGGCGCGATCCCGCGGACACGCAGTCGCGAGGATACGCTCCGCGCGAGGCATCCGCGAAAAAGAAACGTATCCGCGCCGCGAGGCTGCGGATACAAAACTGCTGGTCGCCCACGAGACGATGTGCATTGGTAGAAGAACAGTCTGCGTAAGCATCAACGTTGAATCGGCGCTGACCCCCTCTGGATAGGATTTTCTTGGATTTCTTGGGCGGATGTCTTGAATTCTTGGGCGGATTTCTTGGATCGGCGCTGAGCCCCTTTGGCGGCGCCGCCCCTGGCACGCTCCGCGCGCCAGGGAGGGGGGCCCAGCGCCGATCCCAGGGATCCGCGCAGACCTGCGGAAGTCTATCTCTATGCAAAGTCCTGCTCTTCTGCTCGGACACTGTGGCGCCGACCCTGGACCCCTTCCTGTCCTTGGGCCCCCATCCCTCACCTAGATCATTGGATGTTGTTTGTTGGTCGCGATCGGTAGCGTCCGATCGGCACTCCAGATCGGTCACGACTGAGCGAGATCGACCGGTCGTAACCGAACGGTCGCGACCGATGCTGAAGTACACTGTTCGCGACTGGCATTGGGATTTGAAGCAAAATCGGCAACGACCGACCTCGCCGACCGAGACCAGGCATCGAATGATCAGGGTCCCTCTGGACCCCACCTCTGAGCCGTCGGATGCTGTTTTTCTTTGGACTCAGGCAAGTCTACCTGCAGGGCGTTCCCCCCCCTGCCGCCATTCCAGACAGCGCTGGGCCGCCAAAAAGGCGTGCAAGTGAGTCCGAGTCCGGCCTTGCATGGATGCCAAATCCTCTTTCGGACCTCACCAAATGCCCCCCTCCCTCCAAATCAAATAAACTTGCCAGAATCTGACGGGAAACTGCCTCCCGCCGACTCCTGTGCAGGACGGGAATGATGATATGATAAGATGAGAGAGCGTGATCCACCGCCGCTTTACTGTGGAAAATTGCCAACCTTTTCCTCCGGAACCCGGGGGTCGCCCCCCCCCCCCTCCGAAAATCCCCCCCCCCTGCTGGAACCCCTCCCCCCCCCCCACCCCTTCCCCCGGCAAAACCCCCCCCCTCCCCTAACCCCTTCCCCCCCCCCCCCCCCCCCCGCTCGAAAACCGGGGGGGGTCACTACCGGTTCGAACCCCCCCCCCCCCCCCCCCCCCCCCCCGCTCGAAAACCGGGGGGTCACTACCGGTTCGAACCCCTCCCCCCCCCCCCCCCCCCCTCCGGATCCGGAAAACCGGGGGGGGTCACTACCGGTTCGAACCCCCCCCCCCCCCCCCCCCCCCCTACTCACCGCCAGCAAACGACTCCCGGTCCCCACCACCGTCCGCATCACATCCCCCACTGGTGTTCCCAGCACCACTGTCCTCACCACCGCTGTCCCCACTGGTTCCACCACCGCCCCTACTGTCCCCACCAGTGGCCCCACCACTGTCGCACTGTCCCCGCTGTCCCCAGAACTGTTCCCACCACGGTTCCACTCTCCCCACTGTCTCCACGGCCCCAACCACTGCCCGACTATCCCCACTGTCCCCACTGTCCCACTGACTCCTCCGCTGTCCCACTGAGCTGTCCCACTGTTCCCACCACTGTCCCCACTGTCCCCACCACTGTCCCCACTGTACCTCTGTCCCATTGTCCCACCGCCGTCCTCGCCACCGCCTTCACCACTGTCCCCACCACCATTGTACCCTCCACTGTCCCACTGTTTCCACCTCATTCCCATTGTCCCCACACCACTGTCCCCACCACCACCGTCACCACCACTGTCCACTGTCCCCCCCTGTTCCCACCATTGTCCCCACCACTGTCCCCACCACTACCGTCCCCACCACTGTCCCACTGTCCCACTGTCCCCACCACTGTCCCGCTATCCCCTCACCACTGTCCCCACCAACACCGTCCCCACCACTGTCCGCACCCCCACTCGGTTTTCGAGGGGGGGGGGGGTTCGAACCGGTAGTGACCCCCCCCGGTTTTCCGGATGGGGGGGGGGGGGGGGGGGTTCGAACCGGTAGTGACCCCCCCCCCCCGGGGGGGGGGGGGGGGGGGGGTTTAGTGACCCCCCCGGTTTTCCGGAGGGGGGGGGGGGGTGGGGGAGGGGTTCGAACCGGTAGTGACCCCCCCCGGTTTTCCGCCAGCAGCGGTAGAACACGCTCTTTCTAAGATTGGCACATGATACGTTTCAGGCCTTCCAGAGTATCTAGCGGGTCTCGCTCCGACAATTCAGAGAGCCGGGACATCCTGAAAACCCTGAAACGCTCCATTATCATGACCGCTCGCTCCTCGGGCTGTGCCTGCCGAACGGCGGCCGGCACGGCCGCGTCGTACGCCGCGTCGTACGCCGCGTCGGGCGCCGGGGCGGGCGCCGGGGCGGGCGCCGGGGCGGGCGCCGCATGGTTGCCGCGGATGCCGAGGCCCATGGCCTCCTTGCCACGAGCGGAGGAGGAGGCAGCCGCTGAAACACGGGGCTGAAGGAGCCGCAGCTGGCGCCCCGCCCAACTCGGATCGTTGGATGCCAGAATTGTTGTCCGCTGAGCGCCGGGCGCGCCCGGTCCGCGCCTGGTCGCGCCAGATTCGTCTGGCCGTGACCAGCGAGATCGGTCGCTACCGTTGTTGTTTCCAATTCTGGCAACCGATTGGCTTCAAAATCGGTCGCGAACGATTTTGGAATCGGTCGCGCTCGGGCGCGACCGACCGTTTTGGAGTGCCCATCGGTTGCTACCGATCGCGACCGACAAAAATAGTGTATCCAACGACCTGGGAAGGCCGACCCCGACCCCCCGATGGTGATGACCTGCGCGCAGCACGCGATATCGGGCGCCGCAAGCATGTCCTCGCTGCTGCAGGGTCGGGGCCGGTCTTGGGAGGGGCGCCAGGGACGGTTACCCCAGACCCCCAACGTCATGATCCTTTCACGACGTGGACCCCCAGATGTCTGGACCACTTCCCCAGGAGCGGCTTTCCACCCAAAGTTGTTCGTTGACGATCCTGGGGCCCGGTAAGAGCCCCCGACAAAAGACATCCATCCATATTTTTTCAAGGCGGCAGTGCAAGACGAAGCCAGGACGAGGATCAAAGTCGGGTGGGGATAAATCGCTAACGTCTGAGGTCCGGCGGCTCTGGACGATGTCTCGGGCGCCGCGGCCGTGTCAGGGCGCTCCAGAACGCTCTGGAACGGATTGATCAACGCCCCAGCCCCGTCCGACGATGTTCGAGTAGGGGAACGACTATAGAATTGAGTCACCCCAGCGTTCATTTGCTTGTCGAAGCTGCAACAGAAGCGTCTCATACTCGTAGGCCTACACGCATTCTACGCACTTGTTGTAGGTCCGACGGGCATGTCAATTCTGGGGTAAATCAATTCTGTAGTCGATCTCCTACTCGAAATGCCTGGGGCTGTGTCTTTCTCGCCCAGGGCCTTGGGCATGTCCCTGCTGAACGCGGCCGGCGTCTCCTCCTTCGCCGACGGAGCGGCGGCCGGCGGGGGGCGCTGCCCCTCGATGGAGTAGACCTGGGGCGAAGCCAAGACTCGGAAGACACCAACGAGGCACCAACACCGATGCTGGCCAGGCTCACCCTGGGCCCAAGGATCGGTGCAGACGCCCTCCTGCGCTGGGCAGAGTGCATAGGCCCCGATCCTGGGCCTAAGGATTGGCTTGGCCAGGATCGGTGCAGGCGTGCAGTTGGTGCCCTCCGAAAGACGAGACAGCATCGAGCGGGGACCCATCGGGGATCTCGGTGAAGGGGCCCAGGGACACGCGAAGAAATAGGCACACCTCCTAGGACTCCGGCCTCCCCATACCTTTCCTTATGTCTTGGATGTTCGTCTGCCCCTCCACGCCCCATATTTTCCATTCTCCCCTGGGAATCGACGATTATGTGCGTCTGTGTGATTTTCTCCCTCCTGAAAGGACGAAGCCAGAACGAGAAAACATTGGACCAAGACACATCGGGGATTTCTGAGACCCGAAGCTAGGACGAAGCAGCGTCGGACCTGGACACCCTGGGGATCTCTGATATCCGAAGCCAAGACGAGACAAGATCGGACCAGAACACATCGGGGATCTCTGAGACCCGAAGGACGAAGAAAAATCGAACAAGGGCACATCGGGGATCTCTGATATCCCAAGCCAAGACGAGGCGAAATCGGACAGGGAAACAAATTGGGGATCTCTGAGATCGCCGCGGCGGTCCCAAGCTCCCGACGGCATGGTTTCTTCACAGCGGCGACCCCCAGAGATCTCGCCACAGCCCCCCTGGAACGGCTTTGCATCCCTCGTGCTTGCTCCACGACGCGCGGGGGCCTGGGGTTATCTTGGAGTCCCGAGACGCTGCGGCGACAGACCGTGCGGTTCCCTCGAAATCCCCAAAGACCTCACCGAGCGGTGCGTCCGACGCACGGTTCTGGCACCTCGGATGCCCCAGTCGCCCGAGGCGTCCTCGGTGAACGACCCGAGCCCCCAAGACCGTGCGGTGACCCCGAGCCCCCACCGACTCACCACACGGCGTGGTCACCACCCCGCCTGGGGGCCCCCGGGTCGTGGAGCGCCTCGGGACGCTCCGAGGGCGCTCCGGAGACGCTCTGGAGAGCGACTTGCCCCCGGTCCCGGCTCCGCCCGCGGACCTCCGCGGAAAACTGGAAGGTGGGCTCTCTGCCGGCCCCGGAGAGGCGGAAGCGCCCCACGCTGCCCAGAGCGATCTCGCCGTCCTTCCCGTCCGCAACCGCCTCGCCGAGCTGCTGGACGATGCCCTTCAGGCACGTGATCATCTGATCCTTGGTGAGCGCTGAATACTTGATGGCGGCCTTGCTGAAGTTGAACTCCTCTACTGGGCTCGCGTCCTTGTCTGGAACCGCGTTCTGCTGGTGCTTCTTGACGGCCTGCGGGCTCAAGTAGGCGCGGCAGAACTGGTCCGTGAACTGAAGGAACGGCTTCAAGGTCGTGCTGCCTTCTACGCCACGAAAACATATACGAAAGTTGCACGTGCTTTCATGGAGGGTGGCGGTGCTGAATGTCGCTGGCTCCCAGTGATCATTTATACGCCACCATCCTCCCCCGATGCCCAGGATTGGCGGCGCGCACAAGGGTATGGGGGGAAGGCGGAAGACTTCTCAGACGGAAGCTGCTTCTTAGAAGGCGCCGGCCCTACATCGATAGACCAGGCCCGCGCCGTCTGACAAGCACAGGTGCTTCTGAGAAGCCTTGCCCACCCCCCATGCCCCCCCTCTGCGCGTGGCTGACAGTCGGCGGTGGACAAACCTCCCTTTAGCACACCTCCCCTTAGTGAAAACTGCCTGGGACCGAACCCGACGGACCTGGACCCGCAAAAATGACGGCCACGACGCCCTCTCGCGAACCGAAAACGGCCAATTCCTTAATCGACGTGTCAGGGTGGGAGGTCTATCAACCTCCGAGACAGTATCAGTCCATGGGAGGGTGTGCGTGTGCTTACTTTCGCGGCGGACCTTTGCTCCTCCGGTCCTGCCTCCAGCCCAGCTTGCAGAGCTGGGGCAGGTGCAGCCCGCGTTTCTCGGATAGGCAGGCCTGCGGGGAGCACCACGTCCGTAACAAGACCGCTACTCCCCAAGCCTCCCCCAAAGCGCAGCCTTCAAGTAGGAGATCGGCTATATAATTGAATTCCCCCAGAATTGAAATCCCCATCGGATCTACAACAAGCACGTAGAATCTACAAGCACTCTACGCATTTGTTGCAACTTCGGCAAATAAATCGATTTTGGGGTGACTCACTTCTGTAATCGATCCCCGACTCGAATCCTGACCAGGTCTCCGAACCTGATCTAGCCGTGGCGTCGAGCGCCCCAAGGAGGCCCAAACCGGCCTCAACAAGCAAAAATATTGAGCACGTCTTTGAAACAGATCCATAGCCGTGGCGACATGGCCCCCGGGATGCCCAAAACGGCCTCAGCAAGCACCAAGTGTGGGCACGCTTGTTTAGTTCCCCAGAGGGCCATCGCGTAGGTGCCGAAAGCGCTCCAGACCTCGGCATAGTCCGGTGAGCTGCCACTGGCGCCCTGCGTCGCCAGGCGCCCGCGCTTCTTGGCGACGTCCTCCAGGAGCCTGGGGCCCACAGGGGCTACGCTGGGAGGGCACACGACAACCTGGCTGGCATACGACGAAGCCATACCAAAGACAAATTCGGACAGGGATGAATCGGGAATCTCTGAGATCCGGGGGTCCTGGAGAGGGTATCGGGCGTCGCGGCCTTGTCAGAGCATCCTGGAACGCTCTGAGAGCGCCCCAGAACGCTCAGGAACTATCTCTGCTCCAGCCCAACCCGAGGGCATGCCTCCCCGGGGGCCTGAAGACAGTCGACACGCATGGCAACGAGGCAGCTGCGACTGACTCCTGGCCCGGGACAGGCCCGTCTGGTTGGGCTCCTGCCCCTCATCGCCTGCACGTAAGGGTGCCCTCAGGCAAGGAGTGGCCTGTGGTGCGCGCGGGGGGCCGCGGGAACACCACGTCCGAGCGTGCGGGCCGGTGCTGGGAACCCCTGCGGGCTCGCACCAGAGGTCACTCTGGCGAAGGGTCACCCTTACGCGCAGCGGACCCTTACGTTCAGGAAGCCTCCACGACTACGCATTCTTCGGCGGCCAGCCCAAGGGGGGGGGGGAGGAGGGAGGGGCCGTCTCAGAAGGCTCGAGGTCCCCTGGCTTCCTGAAATATGTTCTGAGCATCCCACGAAGACGCAGAACACTTCTCAGAAGACCAGAGGACTTCTGAGAAGCCCCGCCGCCTTCTGATACGGCCTCCTCCTTCTCACTTCCCCCCCTCGCTGGCCGCCGAAGACCCAGGGAAATGTCGACCCCCATCCCAGGCTTCGTGGGTTTTCCCAAGTGACCAACAATTTTGGGCCCAACCCTGGGATATACGAATATACGATGGGGGGGCCTCCATCCTTCATAGGGATGCGTCCGAATAGCCCTCTTGGGGTATATCCCAGGGTTCCCATCCTTTTCTGAGCAGTCTCATGCTTCGTCGAAGAAGCGGGAGTTGGGGGAGAGAACGCTCGCCCTGGGATTCCCACCTCCCCCTCTCGCTCGCCGCCGAAAGCTCCCCAAAGGCCAAGGGCAGGGCCTTCTGCCAAGAAGCCGCAAGGCGGGTCGGCCGTCCGGGGCGCGCCAAGGGGGGCCCCGGGAGGCTCTCACGGCGGGGCACCCGCGGGGGCCCCGAGGCTCGCCCCGGAGGCGTTGCAGGACGCGCCGAGAGCAGCAGGGGCGACGAGGGAGGGAGGGAGGGAGCAGAGGGAGGGAGGGGGAAGAGGGAGGGGGGGGGGTGGAGGGGGGAGAGGGAGGGGGGAGAGGGAGGGAGGGGGGAGAGGGAGGGGCGACGAGGTCCAGAGGGGGGGAGGGGGGAGAGGGAGCAGCTGTGGCGGCCGTGGCGGCTGGGGCGAGCGCGTGGCTCCAGGCTGCTGGCCTGGCCGCAGCACCACAGTCATCGAGGAGAACGCATTCCCGACTTTGGCGGGAGCCCACGCCCAAGACGATTCAAAGCCTCGAGTCCCTCGCGGCGGAGGAGGAGGAGGAGGAGGAGGAGGAGGAGGCGGAGGAGGAGGAGGAGGAGGAGGAGCAGCAAGATAAGAGGGGAATGCGAAATGCGGGCCTGGATAGGTTGTACATCGCGGCCCGGCAAGTCGCTGAACGCGGGCGGCGCGCAGAATGGAGGCTAGGGCGGGGAGGGCGGCCATGTGACATAGCATGATACAACCAAGCGATTCAACAATGATTTAGGCAGAGAGTATTCAATCTTGTCTGGATCGCTGGCTGCAGCCTGGCGGTTTTGACAGCGGCGACGAACAAGAATCAAGGAACAACTCCCGTGAGATCTTCGCGGGAACCATTGAAGTTTTCGAGCCCGCTGAAGGGGCTGGTAAGCCATATCAGGCTGGATTAAGCAACTGATTGGCCGAGATTGCGCTGGATTGCTCGGAGTTGGGCAGCATTCGGCCGGTTTCAATGTACCAAGGCCGATGCTGAATAAAATCTCCCAGGGATCGCAACCTGAATTGGGGGGGGTGCTCTGAAGAGTCTGGCGACCTCTGCAAGTCCTCCTCGAGAAAGCATGATGGCCTCTGAGAAGCCGCATTCTCGGGATATTGGTTCATGTTTGCTCTGTTTCCCCAAAAAGAATCCGCCCAACCGAATCCCCCTCCCCAGGGTTCTCGGGGCCTGGAGGCCCCGAGGAGGGCGCCCACCAAGGCGCTTCCAGCCCCAGGCCTATTTACGTGCCAGTAATTGCGATCGACATGGGCACGGAAGTCCCGACCCCCTCCCCTCCCCGAGACCAGCTTCTTATCCCGAGTCGTTTCGGGACGGTCTCGGGCCCGGCGAGGCCCCCCCCCCCCGAGGCCGAGGACGACCGCCGAGAGTCTCCCGCCCCGAGTTGTCCCACGACGCGGGCTCGTCGGGGGGGGTGCCCCTCCGACTCCCAGGGGGGCCGCTCCCCCCGCCGCGCCACCCCGGCCCCCCCCCCCTCCTGCGCGCCGCCGAGGCCTCCGGCCGCGCGGCGCCCGCCCCCCCCCCCGCCGCCGCAGAGGGTGAATCCCCCCCGCCCCCGCGCGTGCGCTTGGGCAGGCAGGGCGGGGGGGGCCCTCCGAGTGGGCGCGCTCGAGCCCAGGCGTCCGGCGGAGGGGGGAGGCGGACGGGGCGGGGAGGGGAGGGGCAGAGGGCAGAGGCGGAGGGGGGGGAGGCGAGAGGAGAGAAGGGGGAGGGCGAGGGGTGGGGGGGGAAGAGGAGGGGGCGGAGGGGATTTCCTGTGGAGGAGACGGGAGGGGGAATGAGGAGGGGAAAGAAGGAGGAATTGAGAAAGAAGGCAAGGAAGGAGACAAGAGGAGGAGCACGAGGAGGAGGAGGAGGAGGAGGAGGAGGAGGAGAAGGAGGGGGAAGAGGAGGAGGAAGAGGAGGAGCAGGAGGAGCAAGAGAAGGAGCAGGAAGAGGAGATGCAAGCCGAATGAACTCCGCCGAGGAAACGAGGAAGCCACATATTACAATATGAACGTGCTGCAATCCATGAGCCGCGCTGGGTGTCACCACTTAGAGAAGCCTCTGTGCGCGGATGGCACGTGGCCTTCAGATTCTCGAGGGCTGTGGCTCTCCCTCGACGTTCCTCCCAAGAGACCTGTCCGTTATGCTCCAGGGGCCCAGGGACACGCAAAACATAGACACACACACACATATCCAATGTTTTCCCCATGTGTTTGCAAATGCTCTGTATGTTCGTACTGCCCTCCACTCCTCATAGTTTTCATATTCTCTTGGGGATCGGCGATTAGTTGTCTGTGTGCTTGTTCCCCTCCTGATGCACTTGGCAAGCAACACAAGGGACAGCAGAAGGAGGAGAGGCAGGAGCAGGAGGAGGGAGAGATGAGGAGGACGAGGCGGCTTGTACTCAAGTGCCCCAGTCCGCCGCTCCCCCTCCTTCCATGGTCATCTCTCGTCCCTCTCCACATCTGCCGTCTGCATGCATCGCATCGCTGTCCTCCCCCCCCCCTTCCTCCGCCTCACCATCCCCGCGGCAATCTTTGCCCAGGCCGCCTGGGCCCTGGCTCGCCTGTCGGACCGTCGGCCTTCGCTCGGTGTTCTCTGGACTGGGGATCTCGACGCCGCTGGTGAATGTTGGCCGCGCTGCAACAACAAAAAAGCCGCGGCACACTCTCCCTGTCCCAGCTGTCTCTCCTCGACCGCGCGCGCGCGTCCAGCGCAAACGGCCCTGGGGACCCAGTCCAGGTTCGCTGGCATGAGCTTTGCCTGCCGGCGCGCGCGCGCGCAAACCCATGCCTCGGATGTCCTGAGCTGTTCGAGGCGCCCCCCCCAGAAAACCAGACCCTCTCCCTCTCCCCTGGGCCGAGTCTTCAGCCCGGGTCGTTCTTTGACGGCCCCTTGGGGGCCTGCCGAAGAAGGCCGAAGACGGCGGAACTGCAGAAACCTGTGGTGTTGCTGTCCGGTGCGCTGGAAGTCTGGGATACGACGGCGACGGCGACGCCGCCGACGCCGACGCCCACGCCCCCGCCGACGCCGACGCCGACGACGGCGCCGACGACGACGCCGACACCGATGGGCATCCAGAGGTCCACCCGGAGCCTCCGGAGGTCCTCCGGGGGCCTCCGCAGTCGGCCCGGCGGCACAGAACAAAGAGACGTCCGGCAGCGATAGAGACAACAACGCCGACGCCGCCGCCGAGGACAGACGCCATCGACGGCGTCGGCGACGCCGAAGCCGCCGATGTCGCCGACGCCGACGCCGACGCCGCCGAAAACGACGACGACGCCGACGCCGCCGCCGCCGCCGAAGACGACGACGACGACGACGACGACGACGACGACGACGACGACGACGACGACGACGACGACATCGACGTCGCCGACGCCGCCGCACGACGCCGACGACGACGACGACGAAGACGACGACGCCGACAATGACGACGACGACGACGACGACGACGACGACGACGACGATGGCGGCGGCAACGACGGCGGCGACGGCGACGTCGATGTGGACTTATACGTCGGCATGTTCAGCGTAGGCGTAATCGCTGGAAGCAAGCAAGACCCCCCGGCATGATAAGCGCAGACGTAGCTTGGAAGCGCGCGCACGGGGGATGGGGGGAGGGGGGAAGGTTCCTTGTAAGGATACCGCTTCTTTGAAGGCGCCAGCCTCCCATCTGTAGATCTCGCCAGCGTCTTCTAAGAAGCAGGGACGCTTCTAAGAAGCCTTCCCCCCTTCCCCATAACTCCCCTCCGCGTGGGCGAGTAGCCCTAGGTCGGGCTTGTCCCCCTACAGGCGAATTATGAGCGACAAATTCAAAAATTCGCCGGCCCAACAGGCCAGAGGCGTGCTAAGATCTCCGGTAACTGCTCAACAATATTTCTAGTTCGCGCGCGCGGGGCGGGCCCTGGGGGTCCCCGGACGAAAAGTACCCCGGCAAGGTCCCGGCAAGGTCCCGGCAGACTCCCGGCAAGGTCCCGGCAGACTCCCGGCAGACTCCCGGCAAGGTCCCGGCCTTTTCGGAGCCCAGGAGGGCTCCAAACGGTCCAAGAGAGGCCCGAGAAGACCTCCAGACGG